TGTCATAGATTGTTTTCAACTTAACCCGGCTCGCACACCTTATTAGGGGGGTTTTGTTTTTTTTTGCAACTCGACAAAGCAATAATTAAGCATTATATGATAATAGAGCAGGCTGTGTTGTTGTTAACTCCAAGGCCCGGCGTGTGGTGAACTCGACAACGACACCGTGTAAACTTGGTGGTCGAGGTAAGCCGAGGGGTGGCCGGAATGATTTATGGTCGTTTAAAAGACCCGTCGTGCGCAAAATAATCATATTTCCTAAAAAACGCTCACCTAACCGAACCGGACGAAAAAAAAAACCGAATGAAAAATAAACATTAAGCCGTCGTCGCCGCCGCCTTTGGACCGACTCGGTTTTCGGGAAAACACAACGCTGGCAAGTAGCCCGAGGCGTGCGATTAACAGCCATAGTGGGCAGGCGAGACCCGATGGCGGTGATCAATTTTCCCGGGGCACGGCTTAGCCAATAAAGGGGATCAACAACCGGCCAGTAATTCTATACTCACACGTATTTATAAATTAAAGGATGTTCGATAAGAGTGGTATTTTTGCTTGCTTGACTTTTCAAAAAAAAAAAAAATCCATAAGAGTTGAAATAAGATTGAAAGTCGATTCCGAGATCACCGGAAAGAGCTTGTCAAGGAGATAGAAATAGATATGAATTTAAAAGATTATTTTGAGTTTTTTTTACAATTAGAAACATTGTCAGAGTTACTCAGTTAAAACAAAAAAAAAATATGTTCAATATCTAGCAGTGATAAGATAACAATGATAACAATTTTTTTTTAAAAAAAAACGATAACATTTCAAGATAAGAGTTTTTTATATTATCAAAACAATCTGTACAATATTTATTTTACAATAAGTTTTTTTTTTTGACAAGGATATGTACATAGCTTGAATAATTAGCATGCGAGGAAGTTACCCACTGATAACACCTCAGCAGATAGAAGAGGTACAAAATTATTTTATCACATACAACCGTACGTATAGTACCAACCGCTCAACAATGAAGACTTTTTTTTTCGTTTATGTGGCCATACTGGTTATAGTCGTTTTGTTTACTTCACTACCGCAATTAGCATGCAAGTTAGCTGTTGTAGTATGTTTGTTCATCTCTTTATGTTATTACATTTAAATCAAAGTATTTCTATTAAAATTGTCTGATATCGACTACATAATAATATTAATATTAATCGCAATGGTTATAACGTCGGTTATTTTTTATTTTGTGTGGATATTTGTTTTTATAGTGTTGAATGTTAATTTTAGTTTAGATGTTCAGTGTTGATAATAATTTTTCATTTTCTCACCCGGACAAACCGGTTTTTTACAATATTGTGTTTACTGTTTCACTTGCCACCTCGAGAAAACTCATTTAAATGTATGATTATATAGTAGTATGCGCCTAGCACAAGTATACATTGGCGATTTTTATGAATATTTTTTTTTTTTTTTTTTGATAAATCATTACCACAGGCTGTGTTCTAGTTTTTAATGTTCTCACAGGTGGGATGCTTTTGCTAATGGATTAGTTAGGCCAAAAACTAATAGTGAACGTAATTCCAGCAAAAAATGTAAGAATCTATGAAAGTAGCAAATATTCGACGAATGCCTTTCTCTTAACAATAGTATGTTCAGGTACTTTAACTATTATTGGTTTAATTTGTGTCAATACAAGTAATGGAGGTATTTGATTCTCACTAAAAAAAAATTTTACGTTTACAACTGTTTGTTTAAAAAAAAAAAATAATAAACGGTGCAAAAGATTTATAGACAAATGTGTATAATGCATATTAATATCAAAATAATAATAATATTTTCTCTCTTTTATTAGAAACAATATTTTTTAAAATTTTATTGCATTTCACATGTAAGGTAAACAAATAAAATAATCGTTTTTCTCTCCAAAATGCTCACGTTAACGTTCAAACTTATTAGAACCAATTAAATGTGATTATATACAAGTGATTATAGTTTATACACTACGTCCACTAGGATATAAAATGCATATTAGGGTAATTACTCACAAATTATGCATTCCTCGAACAAGTTTGTTATTCATTCGTTAAATTTAAATACGATTATCAACTATAACTGTACTAATAATTGCTGTTGTAGTATTATTTCCAAATGGAAATTTTCCATATTATGCATGTTGATATTACGAAGAAAATTTTTTACATCAATAAATAGTTGTATTAATTATTATTAAAATAAAGATATGTATTAACGTGGAATTGCAAGTTCTGCTTACTCGAGGGGAAATTATTTTATTAATCGGATCTGTAAGACACATGCACAGCGTGTGTCTCTTAGAAAATACTGGAACTATTTCTTTGATCAATGTCTCAAACCAATTAGGTATAACTAACAATATTATAGTATTATGATAATAGAGTTCATAGACACACGCCGAAGGGGTTTTCTTGAAATAGATGTAATTAATGCATTAATATAATTTATTATCGCATTTAAAACCAACAGCCATCTTGACAGCATTACGGTGACTTGAACTTAACGACGTTGTATTTATTTCCAAGAACCTAAGTGTTAAAACGCATGTTTTAAGCGTAGGACAAATAAAAATACTCATAAACTTCATGTTAAATAATTTATTAAAATGAAAAACGATTTGACACATGGTCGTCTGTAATAAAACGTCAGGAACGCTGAATTTTGTTTGGCAGATTAAGTTCCTGTAGAGCTTTCTTAGTTTTCGCTCGATTTATTTATTATTGTAAGGTTTTCTCGTGTCGATAGTTAATTTATAAAAAAAAAAAAAACAACACAATTTTTATATCTTGTTTGAAATTTGTGTGACTTTTTAATATCTTTTTGAGAATATAATTTTGATAAATTGTACTTGTATTTTCAAAACGTTTGCCTGGCCAAATCTAGCTGACTGGCTGTCTTGTCTACAATGTTTTTTTTTTTTTTTTGTGAATATTTGAATTTTAAATATTTGACACTATAATATGATTGTTTATCGAGACTACTTTAGACCCAACGCAACAGTTATACAACTATGCCTTAGAATGTCTGTGGCAGAGAGTAAATGGGGTCAGAAAAATTTGAATTTTACCAAATTTGAGCGGTGAAATCAATGCAATCTTTATATTGTACGTTATTCTGGGCCGTACTGCATATTGTATTGATCCATTTTGATAGATGACTTGGTCCATTGTGCAAGTATATGCTGAGTGGCTAAGGTGTTGTGCATTATGTGTATGATAAAAGATTCTGTCGTTGCTGCAGGACTAATGGACCTTAGCCAAACAATGGGCAAGCGATTTTTCCAATTAGCAATATTCGTTGTCGGTTTTATCGAGAAGCAATTATTATATTTAAACATCCGATGGGTTTTGTACCTCTAATGGTGTTCTCTTATAGCATTTACACTTTGAGCATGAATGTTGGAAGCCAGAGACGTTGCTAGAATACAAGTCGATAAAAGATGTTAGATAAAAATAAACGTATATTGTATTAAATATATAATATATGTTAAAGATTTGCCATTATGTATTTCCAGACATTGTTGCTGTAAAATAAAAAATTAAATATAATATGACACCCGTGCATTGTGTGCCATCGACATAATAACATGTTTGGGTACTTAATGATTTCAACACACAGTTTTGACATGCTAAAAAAAAAATATTAATAGCTATAATAAATTATAGATAGTAGGATATAATAATTTTTTTTTTTTTTTGGCGCGTTGTCCAGTGTTGCCTTAAGTTGTATGGTATTTACATATTATTATTATTATTACTATATATTATTAGGTATAATAGTGAAGCGATATTAGAGTGTATCCGTCCGACTACTTTGTCGCCAAACCAATTGAACGTGAACACCAATTATACGGTCCTCGATCAATTATTACCCGTAGTAGGTCAATGTTATACTCACTTAGTCGGGTTGATTATGTTGATTTTTGCAATTACCCATAATTTTTAATTTCGACCCTATTATATGTTAATATACGGCCAATTGCTGCACTGAACTTGTCGGTTCACGTCATTGAACAAACAGAAAATGTTGTACTAACTCACTGGAGCCCATTAAAGCTAAGCTTAAATATTTTACATGTTTTTTGATATCCAGTCTTTAGTTTTCGCAATGTACACTTGCACTTGAGTTCTAAAGAATCTTGAGTGACGAATGATACTTAGGGAAATTAACTGTAAGAAAATTCCACGTTCCAGCTTTGGCCTTTGCCATTGCAATCTGTTGTGTTTCTCTCAAAGGGCGAACCTGCGTTGTTTGTGCAAATGGCAACGAGATTTGTTGCCATTTAACTGCAGGTTATTTTTTAAATTACCTATTCTGTTTTTTATTAGCTGTGTTTGAAAAAAAAGACCCTCAGACAATTTTCAAACACATGATTAATCCATTTATATGTTTTAATTATTTTGTCAACTAAACTAATTCAAGTCGGGTTGGTGTTTTTTTAATTTTTATTAACTTTATTTTTTTTTTTAAATAAAGAGCGCGCATATTTAATTTTTGTTTTTTTTTTGTTCTGCTCAATGCTATAGATAATTTTCGATCGACCCTATCTAGGTTAACCGTGGTAAACTTGTTGGATGGTTAATTCACATGATAACTCGTGTGCATATATTTTGTGAATTATTTTCACCGATTACCCATTTTCGGTCTGCTAGTTTTTTTTTGCGTTTCAACGTTATTCCCAATTGCGTCCGTAAAATAAAAAACCGATAAGATCCTGAAAATAAGTTTATACACACACTATATATATATGTCTAAATAGGTGGGTCGGTCATTGTAAAAGTGGTGTGAATGTTTAAAATACATACATATAATGGAGTCACATTTAGTAGAACCAATTGCAAGGAGATGATTCACTTAATATTAAATATAATAAATTATGTATTATATTGTGTTTGCTAAGACGCACTGTGCTTTTATGTTGTTTTATTAGGAGTTGCTGTGTGTGGATTTTTTTTTAATATTTTTTATTTGTTTTATTACAGCTTGGGCTTAAGACTCATGATGGGCGAGTTTCCCGTGGAACGAGCTCTGGACCATTTAATCAAAGAATCGACACAGGGATGGCGGAGATTAAACTGTGACCGTCTTTTCCCCAGGTACGTTTTTTTCATATTAAAATGTCTTCACTGTCAATATCAAATGATATGTCTTTCTCAATATGGATCACGGATAAATTTATTGATAACCGTTCTTGTAACATTGTTGACCGTTTTAACTCGTCACATAGCAGAAAAAGATCTTTCACAAGGGGCACTACTTATTGGCAAAGTATAAATTCAACACCGAGGAGCTTGTATAAATGTTTTCATTTTCGATACTGGTCATTTGCTTTGGATCTTCTAATTCCTGTTATTTGTCTTGGGATCAACACCAAAGTCTTTTTCGTGTGGAAATTGCCACAGTTAATCATTTACTTTGTTTTATTTTTTTTGCCTATGGGTCGGTGTCGCTTTGGCGCTAACCAAAACCGCGAGTAGAACGAGGTAATAGATTAAGATTACATTAAACCAGCCACTGATGCTTGTTAGTTGAGTCATTAGCTTCGAATTCGATTAACCGAGATGGGCTTTGAAAAAGTACCAAAAGTGCAAAGTACTATGCAGGTGGTGTATTTTGACAGTCGTGGGAGTAAACGAGGCAAACGGAGCTCGACTTAAGTAAATGCGATGGCGATTCACACTTTCTCTCTGCTGGTTATCGATGACCAACCGTGTTCTTGTTAGCACGGGCTCATCTATTATTATTAACCGACCCAATTCCGATGGTCACGGGGTTTGTGCACGAGTATTGTGTTTGGCCGATTTATCGTATTCGGTACACTGCGATATTGGATAATGAACCGGAATTAACGAGGCGGCTTATGATAAATAAATAAAAAATAATAATAATAATATCGCTAAAAAGGTAAACTCCGACGATACTGATGTGGTATATAATATCATAGATTGAAAAAAAAATCCAGATAGTATACACTTCATAGATTTTTGATCGGTTTAAACTCAATGCAGTTGGGCCAAATTATAGTGCAGTTTAATTACACAATAGTAAAGTAAACTGATAAGAAACACTGATAACAAGTGACCGATTGACTATGGTTAATGGTGATAACATCGGTCGCCGGACGCTGATAAGAATTAACACGGGGAAGATGCTTATCACACTAAAACGCGGCGGCCATCTTCTTAGGGCTACACCTATATCTGTAAACATAACACATAATACCAAATAGGGCGTCACTTTTTTATGACCCCATCGAAAGTGACCCTTCTGCTTTTATCTATTCTGTGATAACATTACAGGCGTTTGATAACATTTCTTTGACTTTGTATAACAGAAGGATTCATTTTTTTTAATTTGTTGGTCGCACTGACCTGAGATTATTTAAAGTTTGTTTACATTTTTCAATTTTTTTTTTTAGAGTGCACTTGTCTGGTTTTATTTAATCTTTTTGTTTTTATGATCACTTTGTCTTGGCTAGGATCTTGTAGCATGTAGTGTTCAATATTGTTCTATTCTCACAACGCAGAGAAAGCGGTTAGTAACAAGTATTATGGCGATAAGTCCATTCTTGCCAAGCACAACGCCGGATAATTATTGTTTGGCACTATAATAATATAACGATGATAATAACGATAATACTATGCTTAGTCGATTATGTCCGAAATGTGCATAATACAGAGGCAGTTGTTGCTGGTGGAATTTCCCCTAAAGAATCTTTAACCGTAACCGATCACGTTGAAAAAATAACTAGTCTAACTATTTTTCCACCGTGTACTTAATCTTTTGGAAATATAGTATTCAAAACACACATCCTACGTACTACTAACTGTAGTCAATGGGACACGTGAAAAATATATACAATATAATACAATAAATGTGTGTGTGTGTGTGTTTTATTTTTTAGCATAACACCAAACGTTTGATCAGTGTACCGTAATACAATAAAGACATACAGTTATCCGTCTTTATAATATTTAATAGCCTGTACACGACACATAAATTGTTATTTGTTATACCGGCTCGTATCAAAGAAGCAGAAATAATATTATTCAAATAATAAAAAAAATTTCAATCTAAAAACATTTTATGAAAATTGTTTATAATACAATATACATAACGCCAAATATAACCGAACGTTTGGACTGACCCCCTCCCCCATATTTTTTAAAAATTACACTGAATGTCTATGAAAAGAATGTTTTTTTCGCCATGGTCGCAAAAAGTATTTTGAGGTTCTGTATTGATACCTATTTTTAATCGTTTTTATAGTATTTTCTACTATCAAAAAAAAAATATTGGTTTTTTCGCGTAACAGAAAGTCATTAAAATTCAGTTTATAACATAAAAAATTGTTTATATCGTGTTGCCGAAAATTTGAGAATTTTTTCAGAAACCTGAAAAAAATGTTACATTTAATGTGTACCTACATTTCAAAATGGTATCTCCATAAAAACGATTAGTGAAACAATAAAAAAAGAAGTAAAAATTCATAGAAAATGCGAAAAAAAACATCACAGTATTTAAAATAGTTTAAATAATTAATAATAATACATTTTCGGTTTTTTCACCTGAATAATTTTCACCTCTTTTTTAAAAAATTTCTAAGCGTTTTTATGGAAATCCCAATTTTCAAATTTACACGCTTTATGTAAAATTTCTTCAGCTTTCTGAAAAACAACTTTTTTGATTAAAAAAGAGGGGGTTTGTCATAGTATGTTTAGTTTAGTTTTCTTTTTATTAATTGCTTTTGTAATTACTCATTATAGCACTCTTCAAATATATAAATGGCAATTTCAGTATTAGGGTTTAAAATGATCTTTAAAAAATTAATCATCAACAATTTCTTCCCGAAATCTGACTGGAAACGGTACGACGGTTTTGTGTTTCCTTTTTTTTTTTTTTAATGGATCATCGTTACTGTGTTGTCATTAAACGAACGTTGCGTGAAAAATGACTTTAAAAAAAAAAATACAAACTATGAATAATAAACTTTTGAGTTGTTTTAATATTATGTTCACGTCCAACCGACCATCACTTGAAACGCTTCCGGATTGAAAGTGAAATTACATGTTACTGTTAAATGCATTATTTTTACTGCGCTGCAATTAGAATTGCATCGTTGTGTAAAATATGTTAATTATTATTTATTAATCGACAAAATACAACTCTAGAACTTTTCCTATCCTTTCTTCCAAACTGGACGTTAAATGTTTTGTAGGCCTTTGTGGTTTATTTTCATTTCTATATATTTTTAAGTCTTCGATAAACGGTCACAAAAACACAGCTGACGCTGCAAATAAAAATTGCATATTAAAAAAAGTATTAGACATTTTTATAAATATATTTTGCCGGTCCGTCCTCGAACTTGAATACACATCAGACACAACCGTGTCGGCCGTGAGAACTGTCAGTGTTTAAACGATGGTTTTTACAACACACGGTTGTTTTTTTTTATAAATTAATAATATATACAAATAAATGGTATTCGTACGCGACAATAAAAAAATATGACACACATTCGAGTGGAAATGAATGGCATTTTTTTTTGTGAGTTTTTTAGTTGTGCGAATTTCGAGAAGATGACAAAAATATAAACAAACGGCCAAATTGTGATAATTATTATTTAAACGCGATGACTGACGAATATAGTCTTATATTGTATGTTATACTCAGAACTGGGACTAATGTGCTATTGCTATATCTCCCACACGGAATAATTATATGCATGCCGGTACACTTTCTTGGGTCATCACTTTCTTGTGCACAAATTATTGTTCAATGAATTCCGCAAGACGTTTTCAAACAAGTTTAGAATAATAGCAAAATTTCATATAAAAAAAAACCGAGTAGGTACACTGATCAAACGGGCAACGCCTACATAATATCATAAAGGCTCTCCAATTCAAAATTGCAACAACTCTTAATAAAAAGTAAAAAGAAATTTGTGACATCAACCAGTCAACATTTTTAGTAAAATATTCCAATTTTAAAATTTATTAAAATACATTTACGTTTTAGTTGATATAAAAACAATTACTTTGGAAGTGTGTTTAAAACATATTAACAACTTGTGAGTTATTGAGATCATAATAATATTAAATCCTATATGAGATATTGACTATTGATAGTGGTTCGCAGTTTTTTAATTTCGAAATCAGTATTGTGTACAGAGGATGTAAAAAATATATTATTTAAATAAATCCGGAATTTCGGACTCGAGCAAACCGAATGTAAGGAATATGTGAAGACAGTGAATTTGCCGGCAATACAAATAATGATAACCGAACACACACATTTTGTAGGTCGTCTACAGATGTGAAAAATCATGCAAACACACCGGACCAAAGGGGCAAAACTCGTTTGGGTTTATCTAGGCGACATATTATTATTATTATGTTTGTTCAATAGAAATTTATTACCGCCTTGTTCCAGTTCTGAGTGCGTCCACGGTCAAGACCACGCCGAAAGGGTATCACGTGGTTTGAACTAACTTCCAAGTAGTGGGAAACCATCTCAAGACAAACACACACACACAGATACACACAGGTCATCATATTTTATTGTCCCACACACACACATGACTAGGTGTAGGTTAGCCGCTGCTAGAAACGTTTGAAATTTTAGCACACAACACCGTTTTGGTCGAATATACTGCCAAAACAATACACGTTTACAACAGTACTGATATAATACATATACTATAGTGTATTTCCATTGTGCGTACAATTGTGTAAAATGTCAGTTTCTTGAAATAACAATAAGCCGACCGATATTGCACGCGGCCAAAAGGGGAAAGAGAAGATGTGTGTGTTTCTTGACATGGCCGAAGACACGTCATGACGATGTGGTCAAGAACAATGCGGGAGAAATGACACATTATTATTGTTATTTCTTACTTCTATAGACCGTGACTTTATATAGAAAACCGGAAAAACGTTTCCGGAAAAGCACAAAACGACGTATAATGATAATATACCGCACACACACTCGGATAGTATACTTGCACGGTGTAACCGCATTCGACCGAACTGCACAGCGATCCATGATCCATATCGTTTTAATATAATCTATTTTAAAGTGTTTTTTTAAAATTTATTATTGTTTGTAAAATTGGCTTCTTCCGTCCAATATTGAGTCCTTCTAGTTGTAGTATTTTTACAGCCAGTTTCATCAACTATTATGAACATAATGTTAGTTAACAATTCATTTAAATTTAACATCTGGTTAAATTAAGTAAGTTTTATCATAACAATATTATTATTAAATTATTCTATTTGTTAAGTTAACAAAATGTTAGTTGGGTTACCAAAGCGGTTACCTTGATTCCAACGTTCTCATTGGTTATCACGAAATAACTGATAAGTGATAAGTGATAATATTATCATTTTATAATCAAAACTCAAAAAGTAATGAATAATTCGATCTATGGCACTTTAACATGCCAATTAACTTTTTAACAAACTGATTTCGGCTGATTAACTTAACAACGTGTTAAGGTTAAAAAATCTCGACGAAACCCAATTTTCACTGACTAATATTGTTAAATACAATTAACAATAAGTTAAATCCTTAATAAATGTTGGTGAAATCGGCTGATTAAATGATTTTTTCCCAGTTAAGGCGAAAGTTTAATAATGAAATTGTTCACGAATAATCGTTAATGAATAATTTGTGAACAGCCAAACAAATTTCGATTAAAGTACATATTATATTACTCGGTAGTCATTATTTGTTGATATTCACTGTAATTGTTTATCTAGTCAATGATAAAAACGAACGAGCCTATGTTGACTTTAGAAGGTATAATTTTTATTTAAATGTATTAATTGCATTAAATTACATGATTTAGATCTTAACGTGATTAGTTTTACCCTTGATAATGCAGCAAATATTTTTAGAGCCTCTTAGATGTTTGATTTTTTTTTTTTATATATAAACCTAAGCATTATGTGCTTTAATATGATATACTAATTGAACTAGATTAAAAAAAAAATAATGCTGGATTGTCCCAAAATATACAAAAATAAAAAAGTTGCTTAAGATCAAAATCATAGTCGTTTGATAACGTTTACCCGTTGGCAGTCTGTTTGGCGTTTTTTTTTGGCGGTTCGACGAACCAGAAATAATAGCCCACCCATTATGATGATTGTATGCTTTTTTTTTATGGTAGGCATGGCAAACGTGTTTCAATCAGAGCGTTTCCTAAAAAAATCCATATGCACCGATGATCGATGGTTTACATTAGAATATACAAATTGATATATACACTTAAAACGGCGAGTTTGTCATCGGGGTCATGTTCATGTTTGGACGGATCAAGGTTATTATTTGCTGCCGGATTGAACCGCGTGTAGGACAAGTAAAAACCGAAAGGAAATAGAGCAAATCGTTTTTTACTTTCTCCACGACCGATTGATGATCATTAACGTTAGCGATGGGCTTGAGACGATTGAAAATCTTCTCCATTGTCAAGTGCACGTTACTTTATTATTTTGTCGGCCAACGCTGATGAAAGGGAACAATATTATACATACCGATTAATCTTATAGGCTGGCAAAAATCAATACACAATAATTATTCTATGCGGTCATACTCATCAGTCATTACCGTGAAACCAGTTTGGACAGATGAAAAAAACTCAATTACACACAATGTTATGTAATTACTATTGCATTATTAATTGTAATAGTTATAATTGTTATTATACTCGTCGAAGCGAATGACGTAGATTTAAAGCGGTTAATGTAGATTGTTTGAAAAAAAAACAAATTTCTCTTGCAACGTGGAAAGTAAAAGATTATTAAGTGTCCCATTGTGAACAATATCGAATTTAGATCATACCGAAGAAGAGATTACACTTTTTTTTGGAAACATTGGATAGAAGAAATTAAGTTTCTAAATATTGTGTCGCCAATATTATAATTTATAGCGTAAAGACAGTTTATGATTTCTTTAATTCAATGCTATCTTTTTTTTTAATCTTATTATATTTATCGCCTAGATGTGAAGGTACCGTTTTGAACACTATTTTGGCGGTAAAAAAATATGCTTTCGCTGTGACGGTAACTGTCAGACTTTGGCTGGTCCGATTTCAACCTAACCTAAAACAGGAATTAGACAAAAATTGAAACCGAATTTCATTTGAACGGGTATACCTTTATAAAATTCAAATCGGACCATCATCCTGAGTAGAGGAAAATATCGTCAGGCTTTTTGGGTTTAGAATGGTTTTTCCACTATCGAGACCAGAACAAAAAGCTTGTACGCTGTGCTTAAGCACTTTTTTTATTGGGTCAATAATAGAAGAAAAAAAAACAATGCAATGACCGATTGGGTAAACATCGTATCCGGAAAACCGACCAGCATAGCCCGTGGACCGGAAAGACCTGTGCTTAAAGGCCAATGTTATTAAATGCGCTATGTAATGCGTTTTGGTTTCTGCGCACTACCGTTCTCTCGTGAGACAGAATGTGTTATATGGTCGGATAAAAAGCGTTAAATTTCGGCAAATTGGTCGAGTTCGACCGTCGAGATTTATGGCGGCGGTTAAATTTCAAATCCCGTTCGAATCTGAGTTCTGTGTGATGACCCCAACTCAACAGCAAGTGTGTACAGCGTGTACCTACGATTAATAGCTTTCCTAAATTAATAACAATATTCATACCCGGTGTCACATACTTTCATTGTGCTTGTGTGTGAGGTATACGTGGCCGACATTTAAAGCTATTGCCGGGTACGATGACTTTTGACCGGTGTTTGGGCATTTCCCGTGTGGAGTTAGCCGTATATTGTTTGCCATCGGGTGTCACATCACGTGCCAATGTAGCAGTTTGTTATTTATTTATTTTTTTGTTGGAAAAGCTACTGTAAAATCCCATTTCCACCGTGTCCGAACAGCAAGTCCCAACGCTACAGTAGACACGGTGCACTTTCTGCCGCATAAACAGCAACGGTTTACGCTTTTTTAATCACCCAAACCGTTTGTTGTTTAACTATGTGACAAATTCGCGTTTGACTATATTCCAATGGTTTTGGTCACGGCCGTTTCTCGCGCTTTACATAATATTTTTTAATACATATATAACTGTTTTTTTTTTTTTTGTTGAAAAAAAATTACTATCACAAACGTCATCGCCAAAACGTTACAATTTTATAACCGTATCCATACAAGACGTTAATTGGGATATGATGCTTTGTTTGTGTTCACGAGAACCGCACGACAGACGCACTTAACATCAATGTTTTACACGTGGATGATTTAGCGGTTAATTACATTTTTCTAGACTATTTGAAGCCACCGTATTTTGTCCTAAAACGGTTCACGGAACAACACTTTAACGGAGTAATTTTATAAACTGCTAAGATATTGTCTTAGCTTATGTAGAGGGAAAGATGGGCGTTGGTATATAAATTATATTCGAGACAATCGCATTTCGGTGGTGGTCTAATGAGCTATTTACACAGTCACTGAATGTATTGATTGTTATCACCGATATACTGTGAAATGTTATTTGATAACATATTATAGTAAGACTTTCGGTACAATAATTTAATTTCAACAATGTGGTCACACTGAGTCGCGGAGGGTTGTTTGTTATCAGTAAATGTCAGAGTACACCACAGAGCAAACCGTAGAGAAACTGTGATATTTTTACATGCGCTTTTATGGGAAATCTTGAGAAACTGACAGTGCTTGTGTAGGGAATTCTTATTTTTCGTTCATTCCGGCTAATCTGTATGCTCGTCGAACGCGAAAAATGGCGACGACATTGTTGATGGCGCAGGATATTTAATAAACGAACAGTGTAGCCATGACAGAAAAAAAAAATTGAAATATCTGCGTTCTGGCATCACTGCAAAGTACACCCCATTTGGTTTTGTGATGTTTTCATACATAATGTATTTATATTAATAATATTAATTGTATTTTTTTTTTTTTTACTGTTTTCCACAGGTGTAAGGGCGAACAAGCCAAAGAAGTGGTCATCGAGACGGCGCTGGGTAACAACGCGGTCGGCGGCGACGCTGAGTCTTCGTAAGAGACTTAAGACAAGAAAAAAAAAATCACTCGACGATATTCACTTCATTCTGTTTGCATTTCATTTGGTGTGTTTTTGCCCGGCAGACGACCGGGTCGAGTCGACTTTTTTTTTTTTTAGTTAAATTATTAAAAAACACAAAAAACTCCTAGGCTCGACCCGTTGTTCCAACGGCAATACTGTTTCCGCTTATATCATTTTAAACACACACACACACACACACGGTCTGTGATAAGACAATATCGCGACGTTAACATTAAAACAACAACGCCCATCATATTATTATTATTATAACGTTATCATTTTTTTTTAGTGTCCGTCGTTGTTGGTAAATATTAGTTCCTCTAAATGAAAATTACTTGTATAAAAAATAATGTAGATAATTTTTTTTTTTTTTTTGCTAGCGACATTAAATCGTTTTTTTTTATTTTTTATTTATTTATTCTCGAGTTGCACCGAATTAGTACGGTACGACTACTAATATGATATATAGTTTTTATTTTTTTTTTTTCATCGCAAACCGTAAATTGCTTACCGTTATTGTGTTTTTGGCCGAACGACAGGGGTTTTGCTTTGCCTACACCACCGTGAAAGAACACCCGTTGATAACTTATCGAACGTGACGAGTCGATCATCCGTAATTACTCAAATTATTTACAAATAGACGGAAATTAAATTAAAAAAAAAAAACAATACAAATTATTAAATCAAACAATTCGATATATTTTATTTTTGACAATATATATCACATTTTCAACTCCAGTCCGATTCGACCGTCGGTTTTCCAACGGATTTTGTTCGGTATTTATTATTTATCTCATCAGTGCATGCAACCTTTGAAACATCTATTCAATCAGCTTAAAATCGCATTAAAACTAATAATTTGTTTACACATTTGAACCGTACGTTCTCCAATATAAAAGTATATTATTATTATTATTATTATTATTAATTGTTGTTAATGTATTTATGTGTATGTCGTAAACTATAACTCAAGATACATTTTGATATTAATTTATATGCAATATACAATATTGCCAACATTTTTATGTATCGATTGATATTTATATTAAGTATTATTATTTATTTTATCCTACAATATACAATTATTGTAACGAACCGTTTTGTTTTATTTCATTATAACGCCTAACATTTGGAAAATAACACAAGTTGATAAAATTGTATGATGTTTTTAGTAATATTATCTTTGTCGTTAAGAAAACCATCGAGATATCCAGAGAATCGTGTAAAATAACTCTAGCGGTTTTGTCGAAAAATTAGTAGCATTGTAAATAGGATTTTTCTTCAAATTATTTTCCGTTAACATTTTATCACAGATTATAAAAAACCAAAAGGTACATTCTAAAAAAAAAGTCGAAAAATGTAAACAGACTAACAATATCAGTGTGACCAAAAAAAAAATAATCCTCTATAATACAGCGTGGTCAAAGAAACTTTATCAAACATAATATGTAATACTACTAGTTATCAGTAATTCTTATCAGTTTACGTTGTTATTGTAATAAGTATGCACAAATATATATATATATATAATAAACTAGTTTGCTAACTATAGTGATAAGAACTGAAGTCGACGTCCGCCATTTTTGTGGGATTTGTGTGTGTATAAAATAATATATATATATGTGGTTCTGTGTTATCTACTTAACTTAAAATAGTTATTAACATATTTTCATGCGATAAGGTTCTAATTTCCACAAAGATGGCGTAAATAGCTTAAAATCAGATGAAAATTTACCAAGTACCCGACTAGTAGGTTTATATTATTATTCAACAATGTCCGATTCACCTCTAGATGTTAGATGGCCGATGTACTTAGCTGTTTGGAAATTTTCAGGTCATTGTACCTCATCTCGGGTCGATCATCAGCTGAATAATTTAACTGGTTCAACCGCTTTGATATGGTAACTAATTGCAATTTGTTTGCGTATAATTGACATTTTTTCCGTTGCTTTGCTATAAAAAAAAGTAGATGCCTATCAAATCCTACTGAATTCGTACGACATTGTTCATTGTTGTGTCTTAAGCGTGATACAATCATGCAATTTATATGCAAACGAAATTGAAATTGTTAATTATTTTAAAGACAATGGTTTATGCTATCGAAAGTAAAAAAATCAGTCCAGCAAAATCATAATTACATTTTTTATTAGTTATAATTCGAATTATTTAAATTCAGACAGAATCATTTTTTGTGTACCTTCTTCGTATTCGTTAAAATAACGCGGAATATGTAAAATGGAAATTTTAAAAGTATTTTTTTAGCAAATTTCCAATGTAAATTTCATGTAAAGCAGTCATTAAACAGCAATGTAATACAATTATTAATTACTACTACCGTTGTTCACTGTAACGCGTTATCATAGTAACGTTATCATATAACTCGTTATCACGTTTTCATAATAACGCGTTATCACAACGTTATCATAATAACGCGTTATCAATAATCCAGGAAATTACATTTTTAATAGCTTAATTATGCGCTACAATATTATAGCAAGTGAAACCTTCGTTAAATTAACCGTGAAACTATACTTCTATTCGATATACATAGTATACACAAATTACACTATAAAACTGTACTAGTACAGATTAGGTATTTTACGATTGTACGGATTCAAAATGAATAAGGCAAAATATAAGCCGCAAGAATAATATTTCTTAACAACTCATAAAAGTCACCAACGAGGGAAATAGAATTGATGTTCTGGCAGAGGGAATCTGAAACGCTTAGGCTTAATATCAGTAATGTTCAGGAATAAATGATGAGCGTTTAATACAGACTTACTACACATTTACCCAACCACCGCGTACAGGTGAACATGCGAACAAAGTACAAACTACAAAACCGTGAGTATAAATTATGTCGATATGTGTTACACACATATTATATAGAAATATATATATTTCTCTGGAGATATGTTAGAGGTACGAAAGGCGATATTTATTGGCTACAAGCCGGTATAGCGGTGGTTGCTAACGAGCAAACGCATTCCGGACATTTGCTAGTGTGGAAAATTCATAGCCCGAATTAACTTTACAGAAAATTTGCAGCGCATACATTACTGTTTGGCAGAGTTTAGTTACATGAACTAGTATCGAATTGACAAACGAATATTATTATGTACTTGTGTTGTGTTAAATACTACTTATAACGCATTGCGAGAATGAATGTAAATTGTCATGTTCATTCTGCTGTTATAATGTTTGTACATCTTAGTGTTGCAATTTAATACACGCAAGGTGTTAAATTGCATAACCGGTACGCCGTCAAATGTATTTTGGATATTGCCGTTTTTGACAGTGTAGACACATTTTTAAAAATTTTTGTGTTTATTTCAATTTTTGCATTTCCCTAGAAGCAAATAAAAATAACGTCCAAACAATCGTGCCGGAGCGGTTTTTTAGCCTTCAGGTTTCCTCGGCTAATTTAAAATGAGCAAAAACAATGTACATTGTGTTTTGTTTACAACTTGCGTCACTACCATTATTATACGCTGTAAGTTATGACGAATGACTTGGTTTATGTTTTCTTCGAGGGAAACGGTAATTAATTGAATAATAATAAAATAATATCCGCCGGTAAAGTGTATATAACGAACAAACTGTACAAAAATGTGTACTGTGTTAAAACCGTACAATTATACTCACAAAGGTAACACAATAAAAAGCATTTTTTCTCTGTCAATGGTAGTATAAATCACTTTTATTATGTTTCAGTCTTCTCACCGACCGTTGTAGTTAAACTAAGCTATCTTAATGTCGTTTCCTATGATGCATTACACCTTTTTTATTGTCATTATTACTTACTATAAACTACTATAAGTCTGCGTCGACAATGCGAATTCTCTTTGAGTTTGGAAGGCGTTTTCGACAGTCGTTTTTGTTTGTGTTTCTTATTTGTAGTTTGCAATTGTTTTTCTGCTCTTGTTTCATACATTGTATTTAAAACGTCAAGCTATCTTTACCATATAATATATAATATTCTATATTTTGTATATTGTTTAGGTGAACACAACATATTTTACCCGACCCTCAGAATTAGGTTTGTTTTGTTGTATTATAGTGTAATAAATCGATATCTGTTTTACAGTTTTGGGTGTTTTTTTTGTTTTATTTCAACTTCCTTTCTTATGTCAAAATCGCACTAATATTGCTTACAATATTATTTTGTTTTTGACGTTCGAAAGAGCTTATATAACAATTTGCTCCGTCTTTCGCGCTGGTAGTACACAAAACAATAATATTGGAAAAATCGAATAACTGTATAGGAATAAATGGTGGAAATACACGCCATGGAAAATATCTTAATGTTTTAGGAGAATACAGTTTTTCTTATTATTATATCAGAACCACATAGACGGCATTGTGTTTCGAAAATCCTTATAATACAAATCCACATTGTCAAATTACAATAAGGTCAGTGCGGCAAGATCAATAAAAGTATGCATATTAGACTAATTCAAAAAAAAAAAAACTTGTTCTTGTTTACCCAAAATATCTTCAATTTGGCTAAAGAAAAAAGGTCAAAATATGAACTTGATTGGATATATTCATCAAAGGTGGCTTTAAGCTATTTTGTCCATTTCATTAAAACGTTTAAAGTATCTTTTGGCTAATTTTGAAGTTACAATATTTGAAGTGGGCTAGTTGGAACAGCGGCAAAAAAACTTTCAAAAAATTATATGAGAAAAATATGTATTTTATTATTATTGGCTTGTAGACTAAATTATTTATTAACTTAAAACAACAGAATTTATTTTTAAATGCACTTTCAAGTAATCATCAATTTACCTGGTATTTTTTTTGGGTTTTTTACATGCAAATGTTGGGCTGGTTATAAGAAATTTCATGTTGCGGCCATTTTCGCGTTACATTTACTTTCATGTGATAAGAGATATGTGATAAATGAAAAGTGATAAGAGATTTATATAAGTGATAAGCGATAAGAAATAAATTATAAAGATAAGTGATAAGAGATAACATTTCCATGTTCAATGTTATACAGTGGAGTGAAAAAATAACTAGATTTTATTTTTTGCATAACATTTGATCGTTTACACATTATATTATATACTATGCGTGCATCGGAGCCCTGACGGTATAAATTTAAAACATTTTTGTTTTTATGATTGTGTCGTTAGCTATATAAGATGTATATATATGCACTTGGAATACGCTTATAATATGTAACAATTTGTAATGGCTTTTTACGTCGATACAGTTGAGTTTTTTTTTTTTTTACGGTGGTAATAATATTATTGTCGTTTGCTGTACGTTTCACATAAATCATCGAAACAACATGTTATAAAAGTTCCAACGAAACGCAAAGCTATATCCAGCCCAAGCCAAATCGGACTGCAGTTTACACGTCATTTGACGCATACACGAAACGGTTATAATAATATTATTTAGGTTATGATGTTACTTTTTTATTAACCGGCCAATATTATATAATATTGGCGAAAACACATTATTTTTCTATGGACTGAACCGAAAACGACCGGATAACATATTATCTTGATACTACAACATCCCAATTGCAAAACTAGAAAGCAATCAAACTGTTATTTGTTTTGTAAATTTGGTTAAAACGAATACGATCCAAACCTAATGTCTGAATATCCTTATTAGATTTATTAATTTATACTTTTTTAATAGATGCGAGTTTAAACCAAGTTAAATAAATTTAAGATAAAGTAATTAAATAAATATTAGTTAAATTGTAGACAAAACTGATCAAGGAATTTATTTGAGTTACTTAAGCGGTTCAATAAGGGTTATCGCTGCGCTACATTCGCATCTTATTGTATGGATGACAGATATTGTAACAAAAATATGTGTTAAAACACATATTTTTAACACAAGAATAACTTTGCCGTTTCTTAGCGACAACTGTCGAATATTCAAAGAGGACACCCAATTGAAGTGTTTCAATGGTTTGCAATCTCCAACCCTTAGCTGCTGACGGCAATCGGGTATAAATATTCATTTGGAAAAAATAATATTTTCTGTCGTTGGTAGAACTTTTGTCTGTACATCGGTTTACATATTTTATTTAAATGAAATATATTTTCTTTACCTCCGTGCATGATCATAACGTACAATCTTATACAAACCTTATTCGTAACGCCGTTGTACGCTTTAAACTTTTGAAAGGATTTTTGTTTTGAAATTACTGTAGTGCACAATGTTGTTTCTGTAGTAGGATTTATCAACATATACCATAGACCGTGGCTATTATTAAATAAACACAATTATAATATTATTTTCAATAAACCCGTTGACATAGCAACTATAAGTATTGGGTTAGTTAATCTTACATTATGTAGATATAGAATTAATATTGTACATTAGATCTAGCGTCGGTCTAATTTCCAACCCTTAATTCCTGAAACTAAAAATATTCCACCCCTTCTAGGGCAAAGGGTTTGTGATACTTATTTATGGTTTGGCAACTTTACTAGGAAACGGATTTTTGTTTTTTTTTTTTTAAAAACTTTTTTATGTAAAAAAAAAAATGGGTTTAGTATGGAAAAAATTGCAAATTTAACAAGAAACTGGCATTTTTAAATGAAATTCGGCTTCCTACACAACATAGCCAAAGAACAAAAAATATGGATTGCAAACGGCTTCTTCGGTATGAAGATAGGTACAGAGAGGAGAATCGTCAAAGGGATATGTACGGTTTTTGTTTTTTTTTTTTTTGGGTGTTTTTCACGATTAAGAAGGATAAGGGGGGATGGGGCGAACGAGTAACCGAAGTCCGTGTCAGTAAAGAGCAATAAGGGGGGGGGGGTAGGTTTTTTTTAAAACATTTTTTATATCGTGCGATCACTAAACAAAAACGATATAATATGCGGATCGAGGGATTTTCGTGCGAATTACTTACACCTACTTACGAGTGCACTTGGATTTCGCCGACGGTGTTTTTTTTTTTTTTCACGATAACACATCTGGCCCGACCGAAGCAGATACAAAGATGATGAACTTTTACATGGGAAACGTGTGGCCACACGCGCTTCGGTCCCTGTCCGCCGAGAAGAGAGAATAATAGTGCGTGGGCGATGATGGCGTGGTCGCCAGTAGCGTCACGGCGCACCACCGGGCCGGATGTTGTTGTGAATCGCGCGCGCGCTCGTCCCTTTCGTCGGTGTAGGTACGGTCAAGTGTGGCGATAGGCGTTTGTTTTTTCTGCTTGTTCGCCGGACCTTTGTTTGAATAATAATAAAAAAAAAAAAAAAAAAATTCACAATCCGCCGTTTTCTGCTTCGTTCGCGGGAAAAACCCGCTCCGGTCACGACGTCAACATAAGGAGTGGGTAAGTTTTTCGGAAAAGAAAATTAATCACCGACACGTTAGATTTGGACGTACCTAGATTTCCCGCCAAAAAAACCGCGGTCGAGCCGGCGGGACCAATGACAGCAATTACACTACCGACGAGAAGACAATAATAATAATAACGACAACAATACGGTTATTATAATTTAAAAAAAAATTTTAATAATTTTCTTAACGCTTTTATATACTTTTATGTTGGTCTCCTCGACGATACGATTTCATCCGTTTCGACGACAAACACAATTAAGACACGATTTCTAATTAGTAAATCTTAATTTTAATTACTTTACACGGTGAATTTGTTTTATAAAAAAAAAAAAAAAAATGTTCAATTGTACCGCGGGGGCCGCCGAGATTAAGATGATACCACAGGGAAAACCCATCTTTCCCTACGGGCCTATCCGCCCCTGACATAATATACTGTCGAGCTTGCACGGTGTGCATGTATTAATACAATGTAATCCGCTTAGTTTTAAATTAACTTCACTTATATTGAAAAATCCACTGGAGTGACTCGAAAGTCTTTTATAAAGTACATAATATCAGGAAGTTATCGAAAGTTATCAGCGTTTGACTTCACCTAGTTCTCAAAATGAACTTGATACCAATATAATATAACAAGTATATATTATATTGGAAAATAAGTAAAAAATTTAATTTGTTTTAAAATGTAGACATAATAAAGTGAAAGTTAAATTGTAATAATTTATGTTTTAAAACAAATTGTTTGTTCGGAAAAGGAAAGTCAGTTAGGTTAAGTTGTAGATTGAGACGGTCAAGTTTGTACATCAAAAGTTATACAAGTAAACGCCTATTAAACAATATGCTTTCGACAATCTCGTTTTCATTTATGCGAATGAATAAGTGTAATTAAATTTTATATTAGTTATTTTAGATTTGAATGGCTGTACATGCATTCCATTTTAGTTGTGTCGTGTAAGGTGTTATCGTTTGATCATAACTGATAATAACTATTGATTTTGATTTCGAAAATGTCATTTATTAAAGTAGTTCTAGTTATTTTTAATATAACAAGTTTATACAGTTTTTTTTTACAAGGAACTAGTCCAAGATATTCGACCAAAAAACCGAACTCGATATTTTTACTTAAATGTTCACATGCCTAAATGTTTTATTAATTTATAAGGACACTGCGAAGTAACCTATGTGAACTAACCGACCGAAGTAAATCTTAATGGCCGCAGACAAAACAAGTACCGCCAATTAAATTATGTATAATAATCCAGTTTTATTTATAAGATACCTATTAAAATATAATATAACGATACCTATTTAAAAATAACGATTATTAAAAAACTGTTATAAGCTAAAAATACTCCTAAAAAAATCTAAGTATAGATTTTTTTTGCATTTATTTTTAATAAAACTAAATATAACCACACAGCGACCTATACAGTTGCTTTACATTTTGCACAATAATGTAAAGCTAGTACAGCATTTTTTACACTAAAAAATTATACATTGCATCCAATGTACCAGACTGTGTAAACCCAGACTGTATACAAATCATTTTTTCCCCTCCACTGTTTAAGAAAGAATATTAATTTACAGGCCCGTTTGCGAATAATTGATCAAACAGTGCATTAATTATAACAATACGGTTCTTGCAGTGTAATTGAATTTATTTTATGTAATTAACAGTGATTGAACGGTCGGACAATATTATAATTAACAAGTGTTTGTTAAAAAAATGGAATACATTATAAATAGCGCATAGTTCTCGATTCATAAAAAGTGTTTGCACAAATTTGAGAATATTTTGTTTGATTAGAAAGGTTCGAGTATAAAAATCGTTTAAAAACCTAATTATGATTAGTTGATAATTATTGTACAACTAATGGGCCGTAACAATAATGATAATTCAAGTATAATACCTACTCAATTTAATTATTAAAGAGGTTAAACTGATTAGGTTAACATAATATATTGAGCGATAAGTTCAGGTCGCTAACATCAATAATATTTTCTACAAAAGAGATTTTTCAGTTGACAATTGAGGCGTTCAGAGACAAATTTTGTTTCCACGGCTCAGTTAAATACAGAGGTGGTCGTTAGGTAGTCATACATTTATTTTTACCGTATATTGAAATTATTTGAAAATATACCGTATATATTTTATTCAAAGTTTATTAATTTATGCTTTTAATTAAAATTCGCATTTGTCGAGTAGGTACTTTTTACACATAGACTCTGTTATTATTAATTTTTTTTATCATTTACCGGTAGGTTGGCATTAAGTGCGATATTATATAGACAAACATTATAAAAAATCATTCTCAACCGAAAAATTCTTTGTTGTGTGGCTTTTCCCTTCTATTAAATTCGATAGTTAATATTTTATCAGAAGGACTTCAGGATGTCAATGTGTCCTCATATTGACGGTAACAATTTTGGCAGATTTTCCCAAAGTTTAAGAAAAAAAAAAAAAAACAATAACCAATGAGACCTTCTCAGGGGACAACAAGAGTAAAACGGAGAGCGGTAACCGGCATAACATAAATAACAGATGGCTTGGATCAGAGGGGGTGGGGGGGGGGTCGAAACAAGTAAAATATTAAGAAGTAGCGAATAAGTATAACGAAAAGGCGAGCTGCAGTGTGACCAGAATGCCGAAATTACATTTCTCCGGTACATATTTGTAATTTGTTTCACTGCTGCAACACTGTTAAATTTACTAGTGTTGCTCGATCGTTGTTTTATATTCCGGTTATTACCAGTATACTGGTTATCGAATAAATGGTATCGGCAGTAGAAGTTAATATTATTATCATACAGGGTCTAATCAATGATAAGCTGATAACGCACATTTCTATTATCATTAAATTGAACTATTTATACATTTTTACACAGCGATAAATGACCCTGTAATTTAACTCGTGATAAAGTACCTACAAATTTAACAACAGATACAATTTAAAACATGGTTTGTGCAACAGAATTTATTTTAACTCCAGTTAAACGAGTTTATCTCTGTGCAAATATTTGGTGCAACCCGGCATTGAGTTATTACATTTGGTCCTAAACTTTAATAACTTTAAAAGTAAATGTCCAAATGTTGTTATTGACAAGTGAAAAAGTTTGGCAAATAATTTTACTTTAAGAAAGCAATTAAGTTTCAAATGTTGATAGACCTCTACAAAAATACTAAAAAAAGGTAAACATTCAGTATAATTTTATAGTATTCTAAAAATAACCGAAACAAAAATGTTTTCGCAAAAAAAAAACTATAAAATTATTATTTAATAAAAAGGAAACGAGTGTCTATATGCTGTGCACAGCGTTTAACGAGTTATATAAAAAAAAATTGTACAGAGCTCTATATGTTATTTTTACTCTATCATAGGCACTTGAGGTATACTACCACGGTGGGCTTGCAAACCGGAAGCGGAAGTTAGTTTTTATGATTTACACACCACTGTTTGGGAGTAGAGTCAAAGTCGAAAATTGTGTCTTTTTTTATTTTTGCTCCGCAAATATTATGATATAATAGTATTTGCTGTGTTCTTGTGTTGTATTTACCGGCCGGCCCTTTTGTCCAGAGAGCCCGATAAAAACTTAAAGGCGCCCTCCTGCCCCCTTGGGGGGTTGTTGTACTACCGAGTGTCGTTATTACCATTATTATTATTATTATTATTATGACCGTTTACATACGACGGCAAGGGGTCGTTTACTGTGTCGGGTTATCTTGTAATGTACGTTTTTACAGGTAGGTATTTGCAACAATGATAAAAGCACTCGGGCCAAGGCGCACTAACGACGACATCACTGAGATGTTGGCCTAAAGGCTGTCGTTTTGTTTGTTTCGCAGTAAAGTGAAAAAAAAAATTACACTTGAGCTAAGTAAGTTTTCCCCCGTTGTTTAGCGCCAAAGGTCGTTGAGATAACACAGACACAGGTATTTCATTGAACGTTCCCATTTTTCTAAATCGCTTACACCTATTTATAACATTATGAGCCGCACTTAAATTTCAAAAGAAAACATTCTCTCCAATATTGCAACCGATGATATAACTTTGTTATAAAGTAAAAAAAAAACAGCAAAATATTCTACCCGGCGCTATTGAAAGATGAAATTGTAAATCATAATTAGGTATTTTATTTCCAAAAAAAATTACCCATTGTGTTTGACTTTTATGTGTTAAAGTTTTACCAACAACATATTATTATATTCGTCTAATTAATTGCAGCGGGTCCTTAATATAATACAGTTGTGTAAGTTAATTAAAAAGTAAGCGGATCGAGTTTCTCGACTGGCGCAAATTATTATTTATTATTTATTATGTCTTTGACATTTTCTCGAGCTTTTTAACTCGAAATATTCCCAACCAACACTCATAACGAGAATCCGGGCCAAATCTTTGTGAAGTTTTCCACTTAAGTTTGTTGTCAAACTTCATTGTGTTCACACTGCTTGAAAACAACTGTCATTCTTTCACAAAGCTGAACTAAGTACTCCGGTTTTGGTATTTATTATTATTATAAAAAAAAAAACATTTTATAGGTAAGGAAGAATTTTGTTTTGTTTTTTAAATTATAATAGAAAATAAACAATCTGCACAAATAAGCACAAAATAGTGACACTTCCCAAATAGTAAATTTGAAATAATAATGTTTCGAATTAACGCTTTTTCGGTTTTGATACCGAATTTATATTAATTTTGCATTTTTTTCGGATTATCATTGGACAATAAAATATAATAAGTTAAATTACATTATATAGCTCTAATACATTATTGGTGTATAGTAGGATAAATAATTATTAAGTTGTTACACTTTGAGGCCAGTTAAAATAATAAAACCAATATTTGTATTTTACTCAACTAATTGTACGAAAATGACAGCTATTAATGAAGGGACAGAGGAAATGTTTTTTTTATTTAATGATGAGTTTTATAAAATTATTTTTATCTCGTCAACCTTTAGTGACGGATTTATTTTTTAATTAAACTGAATGAATCT